TATATATATATATATATATATATATATATCACAGACAGACCCTTTGCTGGGACAAGATGATTTATGGAATTGATTGTTATTTGTTCCTAAGAGCATATTCTCACAAAAAAATTGAAGGATTTTTTATGTTCATGATTATATAATAACGCTTCATTTTCTTAATTATACTATCAAAAATTCCTGATGCAAAAGTTCATATCTTCAATGTATTTTCTATTCCCTGACTTCTTTTATCGAACATAATAGTATGAACGGGGCTTTTACGGGTTTTAATATATAAGCAGTGTCAAAGGGTTTTGCTTTCTCGACACGAGACATGCATTTTGGAAACTAGGTTGGAATGTCTTTATTTTGAAATTAACTATCAATCAGGGGTATGTACCAATTAATTGTTCAGTTTTAAAAGTGATGCATATCGACTATCAACAAGTATACACATTACTTTTCCACTTAGATCCAACACCACACCAAGTGTGTTATGGAAGGCGTTGATTGTTTCATTAGTCACTCAACTTCTATTTTCGTCACCCTTTACTCATTAAACTTTAAAATACTTTTGAATGGTCACTAAATTTTACTCACTAAATTCAACTATTCAAAAATTGAAAATTTTGAAATATAAATACATACACAAAGACAAATATAATACCATACACGAAGACGACACCATTCTTTCCTCTTGGATTAACTTGTGACAACTCTAAAAATTAAATTTTGTTAGTCTTGATTGATATTATTGATTTTAAATCAAAAATCTCACTTCATCTTTGAGATATAATTTTTTGTTTTCTTAATCTGGGTTACCATCTCAATCCAAACAAAGAAATAAATTTTCTATTTTATTTTCTCTGCGTAAATGAAGATTATGATCTATATTAAGGTTTATGTCAATTTGAAGTTAGTATTCTTCATTCTCCTTGAACATAGCTTTTGACGACTAGAAAATTTATATATTCTTAACCAATATCAATAATTTTGCCTTAGATTGAGAGTCTCATTTTCAAATAGATATTTATTTTGTTGATGTAAGTTGAATTTCATAGAAAATCAACTTTACTCGAAAAAAGTATGGAGTTTAGTGACCATTCGAAAGCAAATTTAGTGATTTAAGCGTGATGGAGTGATAAATTGAGATATTGATATGGTGAGTCACTATTTTGAGTACCTATGAAACATTGTGATTGAGTGGTGGAATGCAGCTGTGTTAAAATATCACTCAAAAGCATTTTACAATTTATTATGTAACGGAGTTATTATTTCATATTAATGAAACATTAATGACCTAACCCCAGCCATGGAGGTGCAGTGACTAGTGAAGGGATAAAAAGAAAGGCTTGCGTCAGAAAAGTACCTTTTGGAAAATAAAAGAGACTCTTTAAAAGTCATTGGACCATGAAATAATATTATATCCTTGAGGTTTGCTCAGCATTTGTCAAAATCTAGAGCCCTTAGATCGAGCCTATCACCCCATCTCCATAGCCTTTAAAAATGTGCACGTTACTACCGAGCAGGAACGGATTCAGGATTGAATTCAAAATCATATTACAAAATTTCAAACCAGTCTACTACGTTGGAAAAAAAAAATTTACACATAAAAAATTGATTTTTTTACCAAAAAAAATAAAATAAATACACCTTAAACAAATGTTATTGGCTTGGGAGGGCTACAACCTAGCCCAGTCCCCCAAATCCTTCTCTATTAACGAGTAATGTTTCCATTAGAAAACAAGGTTACGGAGTAGCTTCGTGAACAGCTTATGAGTGCGAATGACCGTCGTCTCAGCATTTTTGTCTGGTTTGTTGTATGGGTGGCCTCGAATGTCTGTACTAGAAATGTACATAGCACTAAGTTAGGGAGCCTTGCCTTATCCTAGTGTAATATATTAAAGAATTTCATAGATAGATATGAATTATACACACGATCATCGATCATAAAGAAAAAAAGGGCTTTTGGTAAAGGCATGGATTGGAGACAACAAAAAGAGGTGAAAAAGAATCAAGGGCGCATGCATGCATGGAAGACATGATTTCTTTTCAAAGATGATTCTTATATTTGATCCGATTTTAAGAATGGTGGCCCTACCCAAGATTTATCAGTGCTTGAATGTTATGTCATTAAATAATGTCATAGTCAGTCAAATAAAAAAAGTATTTAAACCTCCTTTTGTATTAGTGATATCTTGAAGAAGTTTTTGTGACAGGATAAGCAGTCAAGTTGGAAAACTTGAAATGGGTATTGTTAGATAAGTAAGGGTATGTTTGATAAGCCAAATTTTTTTCTAGAAAATGGAAATTGAATTTCAACTTTTACTTTTGCATTGTTTGATAGCATTTTTTTTTTTTTTTTACCTAGAATTCATTTTCCACTTTTTTTTGTCACCTAAGCTGAATTCCACATTTTACTTGAATTATGGTGAGAATTCCAATTTCGGTCACTGTACCAATTATTTATTTATTTATTTATTTATTGTTGTTAGCAATGAAAACAAATTCTAAAAATTATAGTAAAAAAAATATCTCCCTTTAATTAATAATTTTCATGTAAAACAAAGTCAAACAAACATCAAAAGATAAATATTTTTTTTATTTTTTTTGGCAATGGAGACAAATTCCATCCCCAATACTAGTAAAATATATCCCATTAATTGACAATTTTCA